TAGGAGGCCTCCTTCAAAAAGTGTCTCATCACCTTGTTTATCTTCATTAAAGTATTAATGAAATTGTATCACTTCTCAATTACATGGGAGCACTTGGCAATAAATACAATTAACCCAAGCTAATAATATCTCCAGGTGGGTGAATCACTGGAAAATTCAAAGGAAAAGAGAAAAACAAAACAATGCAGAAGCAAGCAGTATTAAAAAACGTTATTGCTGTTCAGTCATTTTCACCACAAAGATGTGTCTTCCTGACTCCTAACCCAGGACTCTATCCAATGTGCTGAATTCAGAAAATAAATGCATACAGTTTGGCTGAGATCTTAGAAATAAGGCAGAGAACATGGAATAAAAGCAGAAGATCTAGCTCAGGTCCTCGGGTTTCAGATTAGGCAAGAGTCCTTGGTTGGCAGGCAAATGATTTCTCTTTGTAAGAGGTAACTATTAGGCGTAGAGCCAGTCTCCCTAAAGGAAATCCCCCCCTTCCTATAATCAGGATTATCAGAGAAGAATTATGACAGGATAACAAACATCCAAGTGTCTATCCTATACATTTTGAGGACACTGCTGAGTTTATCAGGAAATGAGGCTCCAGGTATCAAGAAGATTGATGGAACCAAGAGGAATGTGTCATGGCACCTACTGGGTGGTCAGACAGATGCACGTAATAATAGGATGTAACAGCGGGAAGAGGCCTTTGAGGACATCTAGTCCAAGGCTCTGTACAATGAATGAATCTCTTCTAGTCTAACATCACTAATAAATGGCTATCCAGATTCTGCTTTAAGTCTTCTAGTTATATGAAATTCAGTCTCTTTTCTATACGAGTATCTCTAAAAGTCATTAGCTGTCTCATCTCCCTGTACTGGTTCTGCCCTTTGTGACCAAAGGGAATAATTCATTCTGTTTTTGTTTCTGCCTTTTTTCACATGATGCTCTTCATATAATAACAGTAATATTATTAACAACATTTATATGGAACTTCAAGTTTTGCAAAGAGCTTTACATGTTATCTCGTTTGATTCTAACAATTCTGTGAGGTAGGCACTATTATTTTCCCTAATTAAGAAACTAAAGTGATTTAAGTCATTTATATTTAAGAGGTTTAGAGAATTAAGTGACTTGCCCAGGGTTACAAATAATAATGATCATGATAAAAAAATTAAATACATTGATATAGGACTTTGAGGTTTGTAAAACACATTACAAATATTATTTCTTTTGACCCTCACAACAATCTAGTGAGGTAGGTGCCATTGTTATCTGCATTTTACAGAGGAGGAAACTGAGGCAAACAGAGGTTAAGTGACTTGGTAAGGGTCATTTAGCTAGTAAGTATCTGAGATGGGATATGAACTCAGGTATCCCTGACTCTAGGTACAGAGCTTTATCCACTGTGCTACTTGGCTGTCTCTTTATACCTTCATATATTTCATGACAACGTTTTCTTGGCTAACCTTAGTGTCTCATACAATGTGGTTTGGTCTCCTTATCATCTTAAGGAACAAAGCTCTGGAATATTCCATTTAGGACACTTGGGCATTGGATGTACTTATATATATATATATATTATATATGCTTATTCTCATAGTTGATTGGGGTTGAGACCTTAGAAGTGACCAAGAGGGCAGCTAGCTCAATCACTTCATTTTGCAGACTTTTCAAAAGCCATCTAAGTAGTAAATAGCAGGGCCAGGAATCAAAACCAAGTCCTTTCACTACAAATACAATACACCTTCCAATGTACTAGAATATATCTAGCATTTATACAGTGTTTTAAGACTTCCCAGTAAGTTTGCATACTCTGGCTCATTTGATCCTAACAATTCTGTGAGGTAGGGGCTGTATTATTACACATGTTTTGTGGGTGAGAATAACGATTAAGTGATTTGCACATAGTGAAGAAACTTGTAATTAACTAAGGCAGAATTTGAACTCAAGTCTTCCTCAATCCACGGCCAGTGCTCTATCCACTGCACCACCTATCTGCCCCAACAATTCTCAAAGTATAGTCTCCTGTCATTCTAGATAGGAGTAAACAGTCTAAATCACCTCCTGAGGCATCCTTGCCTCACAACCCAGGAAAATCAAGGATACCCCCAAAGAGAAAGCTGAGTCATCAATGAAACACTAAACTACAAATGGCAAGCCCTATTCAATTGGGCATTGTCGGAGGAAATTCAGGGTCAAAACCAAACAAGTATGAATTCCCACCATGGCCTCTCATCCTCCCACCTCCCATGAAGCATCTTTCCGTGGTTTTAGGGATCTATTTGGCTCAAGCAAGGGCCTAGATTTATAGATCTAGAAAATAGCTACCATGTATCACAGCTTACAGCTCAGAGCCTAACAAATACATGGTTGACAAATGGGCACCACTTGATATATAGCAGACTGCATCTCCCAAAGCATTTTAACTAGTGCTGAGACACTGAGCAGACCTGACCTGTGACAACTGAATAATTCCTTACCATAAGCTCTAAAGATTGTATATAGAATACTTATTCCCCAATTTTGTCTGCCTGTCTGCTAAAAAGGCAAAGCTAGACCGAATTATTTTAAGACCTGTAAAGTCCTACTCATATTCACAAAAACAGAATGTATTAGAAAGAGTCCAGAGTTCTGAAATCAATTGTTCAAACACTTATTGATTATCTCTTCAGGGTCAGGACCTCCTAGCCCTGAAACTTAATAGCCAACATATGTATGACCTTTATGCATCTATCTCATTATTGAGATTCAATCAATCATCCCACAAGGATTTCATAAGTTCCTACTATGTGCCAGGCACTATGCCAAGTGCCACAGGCACAGAAAAGTAAATCAGTCCATGCTCTCAAGGAATTTACTTTGAAGTGGGGGAAACAACACAGAAATATACAGATACACAATTGATGTGAACTAATTTGAGGAGTGAGGGCACTAGCAACCTAGGGGATCAAAAAAGGCTTCATACAAAAGTCATAATTTAATTTGATTCATGAAGGTAACTAGGGATTTAAAGACATGGAGATGAGGACGGAATGTATTCAAGGCATAGGAGACAGCCTCTATGCAAAGGCACAGAGCTGACAAATGGAATGCCCCCTACGAGGAACAGTAAGGTCAGTTTTACTAGACCAAAGGATGCATAAGGTGGGGATATGTGTGTGTGTGTGTGTGTGTGTGTGTGTGTGTGTGTGTGTGTGTGCATGCGCTGAATTAGGCTGAAAAGAGATACTTTGGGGTGAAGGACTTTAAGTACCAAACTGAAGAGTATATATTTGGTGCAAAAGGTCATAGGGAACCATTGGAATTTACTGAGGAAGTGAATGAATTGATTAAATTTCCATATTAGGAAAATCATTTTGCTATGTAAAAGTGCCAACCCCCAGCCCATGGCCTGGGGCTGCCTGAGCTGGATCAATAAGGAAATGAGAAACAAAAAAAAAATCCAAAAAAAAATCTCAAGAAATGTTCACATGTGGTTTTCTAAGTCAATAAGTACCAGTAGGGATCCTTAGGTAGGAAAACTTTGATACTACTGAATTAGAAGATGGATTTGAGTAGGGGAAATCATGAGGTGGTAAGCCTGCCTCATTAAGCACCTCGAGGATAGGGGGAAAATCCCTTTCTCTTTGATCCTGCACAAAGCAATATAAGACACATACTAAGTCCTCAATAAATACTTAACTCGCCAAGAAACAGAGCCATAGGCGACCACGTGGTAAGCGTCCTCTGCTTTGCCCTGATAAGCTTGGAGGCAATAAGTCTGAAGCTAATGATCTAATCTTCATACTCAAACTCAATAAGCAAGGAGAGTGCAGGGAAAAAAGTTATTTCCTAGACCTCCCCTGCAGGCAAAATATTGAAACTCGGCCTCTGATGGTGCTACTTTTAAATCTTAAGATGCCATTTCTAACAACAATCTTGTATGACTAATAAAAAAAAGCAAAGAAAAGCAGAATCATTTACATATGGAAACAGGATCTTTGATACTCCGGGAGAATTAGAAACTAAGTTATTAGTACTGCTCATTTGCTCTCCGGGTATACGTTACCTGGGAAATGAAGTCTCAGTCAAACAATAAGCTCTTATTAAGTGTCTACTATGTGACAGGCACTGTGCTAAGTGCTGTAGTTACAAAGAAAGGCCAAGGAACTCACTAATGTAATGGAAAGATATCCAAATGTTACATCATAGCAACGACTAGACTGTGCTCTCTTTTGGTAAAAATCACAACGTGGACATGGAACTTCATAGAAGTTGGAAGGGCCCTCGGAGGACAATGAGTGCAACACCTTCCTCAACAAGGATCTTTTCTTCACCATATCTGACATGTGCAGAGGCTGTATTCTATTTGCTTTTGTTTCCTCAGGGCCTAGCAAAATCCTTGGCACAAAGAACTTACTTAACAAATGATTGCTGCTTGATTGCTATATGCATTCTACAAAGATGTAAATTATCTCTCTAAGTATTTAATGCCACAAACCATTAGAGAGAAGAGACTTATCACCATGGAAGTATAAATTAAGAATTTCAAAAAGAGGTTTTCTTCCCACATATATGGCAATTAGGTGGCATAATGGATAGAGTGCCAGGACTGGAATCAGGAAGATCTGAGTTCAAATCTGGCCTCAAATACTTCCTAGATATGTGATCTTCAGCAAGTCATTTGACCCTCTTTGCCTCAGTTTCTTCATCTGTAAAATGAGCTGGAGAAGGAAATGGCAAACCACTGTGGTATTTTTGCCAAGAAAATCCCAAAAGGGGTCATGAAGAGTCACACACAACGGAAATGACTGAACAGCTATAGAAATCATTCTCTCAGAACTCCTTTAAGGATTTTAAATTCCCTTTCCATCTTCCTCTCCCACTTTTGAACCAACTGTCCTCTGTGATCTTAAGTGCTCCGCCACAAAACTGCCCCATCGGCCCTCAAAAAGAGCTGAAGAGTGATGACACAGAAGATACTGGCTTCAACATCTGCAGCTGGACCTTACTTGCAATTCATGCATTACCTTAGTCATGGTTTCTGGTTTTCTTATGGTGACCTTGGCTTTGATGAGCTGAGCTTCATCAGTACCATGTTCAGATTCTTCTACGTAACTATCTTTCCCAACATCTGAAAAAAAAAGATCAGAGTAATTTTTCTGATGTTAGAGTTTCTAATTATTTGGGACTAGTGGAGGCTAGTTGGGGGGGATGCTGTTTAGTATATTAGGAAGTTTTTTTGAAAATTTCCCCTCAAATTTTCATTAGTAGGATAGACAATAGTCACACTCAGAAAGAGCCTTGATGGTAAAATACAGGCTACAATAAATCTGAATTCCCCCAACACTCTCCTCCAAGCATCTTTAAAATAACTCCCTACATTCAAATTTTGGAGCAGCAGAGCCAATAAAAAGTCAGTAAGACATTTTTCCCAGCAAAAGAAAACTTGGGAGGTCAGTAAGAAAGGTCTGTGACACCAGGCTAGCCTAGATTGCACATGGCAGCAGCAATAATGGTGGATCTCAGAGACAGCTGTGACAGTGAGAGTAGCAGTAACTTGGAAGCTTTGGGAGCTCTCAACCTAAAACTAATAAGAGGGTCAGAAAGAGGTTACAGAGGACCTTTTGTTGGTATTGAGTGCAGGACTTGGCACTGTTTGGCAACTCTATTGCCCATATGTAGTTCTGGGTTGCAGTTTCAAGGTGGAGAGGAATACTTGTGGTCATCCACGAGGAAGTAGGGGCCCTGGTCACAGTTCCAAGGCTTGTTTGTGGCTGCAGGACAGCTTGGAAATTGGTCCAAGTTCCAAGGCAAGAGCACTACCACCTGTGGCTACAGAGGACCAGAGACTAGGGACCATTCCTATGTAAAGACCAGAGTACAGACCAAAAGATCAGAGATCACTCGTCTTCCTGGAACATACCACTGTTTCAGAAGGCACTGAAAACTTGTAATAAAAAAAAAAAACTTGCAACCCCCCCAGAGCTAGCTCTGAAAATAGCAGCATAAAAAAGCCTGATTCTTGGGAAACTAATTTCCCACTCTGAAGTGAGCAGAGTCCAACTTTAAAATAAAGTTCAAAGTCAAGAAATAAGCTGGAATAATGAGCAAATAGGAAAAAAAAAAGAATTTGACCATAAGAAGGTACTATGGTGGCAGGGAAGACAAAGAAAGAAACTCAGAAGATGACAACATGAAACCAGCTATAAGCAAAGCCTCAAAGAAAAATGCTACTTGGACCCAAACCCATAAAAAATGCCTGGAAGAGTTAAACAAAAAAATAAGAGTGACAGAGGAAAAATTGGGAAAGGAAATGACTGTGATGCAACCAAATTATAAGGGAATTAATGGCCGGATAAGAGAGGCACAAAAAATACTGAAGAAAATGATACCTTAAAAAAAAACCAAAACCAAATTGATTAAATAGGAAAAAGAGCTACAAAAAGTCTCTGAAGAAAACAATTCCTTAAAAATTAGAATTGAGCAAGTGGAAATTAATGATTCTGTGACACATCAAGAAGCAATAAAGCAAAGTCAAAAGAATGAAAAAAAAAGAAAATGTGATCTCATCTGAAAACAAACAAACAAACAAACAATTGACCCGGAAAATAGATCAAAGAGAATTAATTTAAGTACTATTGGACTACGAGAAAGCATGATCAGAGAAAGAGTTTAGACATCATATTTCAAGAAATTATCAAGGACAATTGCCCCATTATCTTAGATCCAGAGGCTAAAAATAGGAATTGAAATAATCCACTAATCACTTCCTGAAAAAAGATCCTAAAATGAAAACTCCCAGAAATATTAGAGTCAAATCCCAGAGTTTCCAGGTCTAGGAGAAAATATTGCAAGCAGCTTGAAGAAACAATTCAAATATTGTGGAGCCACAGTCATAATCATGACATTTAGCAGCTTCCAAAGTAAAAGATTAGGGGGTTTGGAATATAATACTCTGGAAGGCAAGCTACAATTTCAACCAAGTATTAAGCAAAGCTGAATATAATGCTTCATGGGGTAAAGTAGACATTTAAAGAAATAGAGGACTTTCTTTTTTGCCTTGTTTATTAATTTATTTTGATTTATCAATACTAACTTCCATATACTTTTGAGTTTAAAATTTTTCTCCCCCTTCCTCCCCACCACCCTCCCCAAGATGGCGCACAATCTGATACAGGCTATACATTTACATTCCTATTAAACATATTTTCACATTAGTGGTGTTATAAGTAAAAATTAAAAATTCTGAGGAACCATCAGAAAGAGGAAACAAAACTCAACAGAAGAGAAAAAAATTGCAATTCAACTTTCATTGTTTTTTCTTTGGATGTGGATAGCATTTTCCATCGCGAGTCATCTGGAGATGTCTTAGATCCTTGTATTGCTGGGAAGGGTTAAGTTTATTAATATTAGTCATCACACAATGTGGCTGTTATTGCGTGTAATGTTCTCTTGGTTCTGCTCACTTCACTCAGCATCAGACCATATAAGTCTTTCCAGGTTTTTCTGAAGTCAGCCTGTTCTTCATTTGTTAAAACACAATAATATTCCATTATATTCATATACCACAACTTGCTCAGCCATTCCCCAATTGATGGGCATCCCCTCAATTTCTAATTCTTCACCACCACAAAAGAGCTGCTATGAATATTTTTGTACATGTGGGTCCTTTTCCCATTTGTTTGATCTCTTTGGGATATAGCCCTAGAAGTGCTATGGCTGGTTCAAAAGGTATGCACATATTTATAGCCCTTTGGGCATAGCTCCAAATTATTCTCCAAAATGGTTGGATCATTTCACAACTCCACCAACAATGCATTAGTGTTCCAATTTTCCCACATCTTCTCCAACATTTGTCATTTTCCTGTTTTGTCATGTTGGCCAATCTGATAGGTGTGATGTGGTACCTCAGAGTTGTTTTGATTCATATTTCTCTAATCAATAATGATTTAGAGCGTTTTTTCATATGACTATACATGGCTTTAATTTCTTCATCTGAGAAGTGTCTGTTCATATCTTTTGACCATTTATCAATTGGGGAATGGCTTGTATTCTTATAAATTTGTCTTAATTCTCTATATATTTTAGAAATGAGGCCCTTATCAGAGAGACTGGTTATGAAAATTCTTTCCCAATTTTCTACCTTCCTTCTAATTTTAGTTGCATTGGCTTTGTGCAAAAACTTTTCAATTTAATGTAATCAAAATTATCCATTTTGCTTTTCATAATGTTCTCTATCTCTTGTTTGCTCATGAATTCTTCTGTTCTCTATTTCTTGCTCTCCCAGTTTACTTATGGTATCAACCTTTATATCTAAATCATGAACCCATTTTGATTTATTTTGGTATATGGTGTGAGATTTGGGTCTATGCCTAGTTTCTGCCATACTCTTTTCCAGTTTTCCCAGCAGATTTTTTTCAAATAGTGGGTTCTTATCCCAGAAGCTGGAGTCTTTGGGTTTATCAAATACTAGATTACTATAGTCATTGACTACTGTGTCTTGCATATTTAACCTATTCCACTGATCCACCTCCCTATTTCTTAGCCAGTACCAAGCAGTTTTGATGATTGCTGCTTTATAATACAATTTAAGATCTGCAGTTGCTAGGCCACCTTCCCCTGCATTTCTTTTCATTAGTTCCCTTGATATTCTGGAAATTTTGACTTCCAAATGAATCTTGTTATTATTTTTTCTAGCTCTATAAAATAATTTTCTGGTAGTTTGATTGTTATGGCGCTGAATAAGTAAATTAGCTTAGGCAGAATCATCATTTTAACTACATTAGCTTGGCCTACCCATGAGCAGCTGACTTTATTTTCGTGAAAAGTGTTTTGTAATTGTGTTCATAGAGTTCCTGGGTTTGCTTCGGGAGGTAGACTCCTAAATATTTTAGAATATCTACAGTAAGTTTAAATGGGATTTCTCTTTCTATCTTTTGCTGTTGGGCTTTGTTGGTGATATATGAAAATACCGATGATTTATGTGGGTTTATGCTATAGCCTGGAACTTTACTGAAGTTGTTTATTATTTCAAGTAGTTTTTTACTTGATTCTCTAGGATTCTGTAAGTATATTATCATGTCATCTGCAAAGAGTGATAGTTTTATTTCTTCTTTGTCTATTCTAACACCTTCAATTTCTTTTTCTTCTCTTACTGCTAAAGCCAACATTTCCAGTACAATATTGAATAACAGTGGAGACAATGGACATCCTTGTTTCACCCCTGATCTTATTGGAATGCTTCTAGTTTGTCTCCAAAATAGAGGACTTTCAAGCATTTCTGATGAAAAGACCAGTGCTAAATAGGAAAAGTGACATTCAAATAGAAGATTCAAGAGAAGCATAAAAAGGTAAACATGAAAGATTTTGAACATGCCAGGAAGGCACTCAAGAAAGTTAAACTATTTACATCACTATATGGGAAAATGATACACATAAAACCTAAGAACTTTGTCATTATTAAGACAGTTAGAAGGACTTTTCATAGACAGAAAGCATCAATATAAGTCTATTATGTTGGGATGATCGAAGGGGGGGTGAAAAATAGGAATGCACTGGGAAAAAGGGGGAGGAAGAGTTAAAATGGGACAAATTATTTAACATAAAAGAGGAATACAAGGAAGAGCTTTATAGCGGAAGGGAAAATGTCAGAGGGTGTGATGTTGACAAGCAATGCTTGAATCTTACCCTCATTTGAATTGGTTCAAAGAGGGAAGTGTATATATCTATATCTATCTATCTATCTATCTATCTATCTATCTATCTATCTATATATATATATATATATACATTCAGTTGGTATAGAAATCTCTTAACCAATAGGAGGGCAAGGGGATAAGAAATGTGGGAAATAGGAAATACACAGGTAGTATGTATTGTAAATGGGATGAGCTCACCCACAAAATGGAAAGAGATAGCAGAATGGATTAGAAACCAGACTAGAATAATACATTGTTTACAAAAATTAGAAATTGTTTACTTGAAGTAATTATTTACTTGAAATAGAAAAACACACACAGAGTTAAAAATAAAGGGCTGGAACAGAATCAAATATGCTTAAGCTGAAGTAAAAAAGAAAAAGGTAGGGATAGCAATCATTATTTCAGACAAAACAAAAGCAAACACAGACCT